AAGATGACATGCTAGTATGCAAAGGGAAATTAGAGTGAAAGAAACAATAGTTCTGGGCATACTTTGAAAATGATTCAAAATGTTTTGGTTCTTGTATGAGGATAGCATCTCTCTGCTATTTATTAAAGAATCTAGCCCCCCCCCCCCAATGCTTCTAGGTGTTTCGGGCATGGGAGAAGTTGCTATTGTCTTAAGAAATCTTCTTATTAAAATTAATGTGAATCTTATAGCAGGAATGCCTTTTTGAAATTAGTGTAAAGATCATAGAAAATTTGGGTTCCTTCAATGGATAGCAGAGAGGTGCCTTGCTGAAGTTCACCCCAAGTACTGGTGCTAAATCATTTTCAAAGTATGCCCAGAACTATTGTTTCTTTCACTCTAATTTCCCTTTGCATACTAGCATGTCATCTTTCCTAATTTGATGAAATTAGCATCTTTGTTTCTAAACACCAGCTAATTTTTTATCTAATCTTATAAATCAGGATCAGGAATCTCTATACTTGAAGTTTGGCCTGTATTTCATACAGAGATTTATTCTTTCGCTTTTCAATTTCCATTTTTTTCCAAGTTCTTTACAGTCTTTATGTTGCTCTGCTTGTCACTTCTGAGTGGTAAGCAAGAACATTTATTCTTAACATCTAAAATTGAAGGAGGAAGATTGACTCTCTCTTTCTTTCTTTTGCTTTTTTATTTCCATGGCTTAATAAAGCGTGAACGACAAACTGCATTGGGCTATTAAATCGGTGAAACTGCAAAAGCTTTGGAGGAATCTTTTTCTTTTGGGAAATTATTAGCCAAATCCGATTTCTTATCATAATTCTCATAAATCTAATTAGGATTTCTTCTAACTTGCATCTTTTTCTGACAATTATACATTTATCTCATTTATCCTGCTATATGTAATTATTCTGGTTTTACAAGATGGGTATTAATGTACCTTCATTTCTACTTAACATTTTTCTTGCTTCAAAAACATTTTTGCTGTAAGCAAAATATTATTCCTTTAATTCAAATTTTCTTTTTGATTAAAGTAACAGTAAAAAGCAAGCATTAAATCTGAAAATAAAAGTCAGATTTGGAGTTCTGAATAAGGCTATAACTACTTTTCTGCATGTGGCCTACGGGTGTCTTCATTCTATCTTTTGCATGATCATGTAAGGTATTATCTTTCCATTTAAAAGCATCACAGGTCTTTCAGAAATAAAGTCTCAGTTGCAAAGGGAATCAATGCAAAGGATCACAATTTTTACTCAGACCTAATATCAGCAAGAACGGTGACGGTTAATGCTGAAGTCACTATTATTTGAACACAGACCAGTTACTATCTTCTGACTAAATGTAAAACTAGAAAATAAAAAAATATAAAACTACTTTATGAAAGAATACAAAGCCACTGAATTCTAACTATAATAAAACAGTTATTTCTTGACATTTTTTTTCAACCTGTCAGGTTTTCATTAGCAGGATTTAAATATTTTTGCGTTATATGAGCTATCCTAACACGATTATTTACATGTTCCTCTTAAGATGTTCATTTTGGACCTATTGTATAGTTTCAGTGTTTTTCCTCATCCTTGCAGAGGAGTTTGAAACATAAATCAACCCTAAATACTTTGATGAACAACGATGACCCACTTCTTGAAGGAGCCCTTTCTGCTTCCGAGACATAATTAGATCACTGATAGGTAACAGCATTGACCGTGGTACTATTAGGTAATTTCTACTAGTGTGCTGTGATATTTTCAAAGAGAAAGCCATTTCCTCCAGAGTTTTTGCTGTATTTTCTCAATTTAAGTCTGATTCTTCTAATGAGTATTATAGTCTGTTTTTGATTAGTTCACCATACAGGTAAGTTTTTAATAATAGAGTGTTGTGTGTGTGAGCCTGTATGTGCATGCATTCTGGAAAAAAAATAGAATTTAAAATTTGTTTCATTTTTTTTCACTTATTTTAGTTAGGTGGCATGCACAATTGCAGTTTAATTAAATATGGTATTCAAACAACTATGTGTAAGTTGAGTCAAAGAATATTTTCCCAAGAATTTGTATAAAACTTCCATTTATAATGAAGGCTGCCAATCTGTGACATTGCCTGTACCTAACATGATGAAACAAATCTCAAAGGTACCAATATTTATCTTAAATATCCAAACATGTATATAAGCAAAAACTACAGATTTCAAAGCATTCGGATGGACATTACAGGTACACAGGAATATACAGTTCAAAATAAATGCTGTATTTTTTGGAGTATAAGATGCACCGGAGTATAAGACGCACCAAGATTTTGAAGAGGCAAATTAAAAAAAAGTTTCTCATTCTGCAGACCTCCCAAAAATGGCTCGTTTTTTGCAAAGGGGCTGGGTTTTGGGAGGCAAACAATGCTTATTCAGTGTAAAAGACACACCCAGATTTTCAGCCTCTTTTTTGAGTGAAAAAGGTGCGTCTTATACTCCGAAAAATACGGCAAATTTCTCTAAGAAATATTTTCACACATTATAAATGAGGAACAAAGAATAGAAGTCCAATTTCACACGCGTTGTATTGCATAGATTATAATGTGCAAAGAAGCCTTTGGAAAGTTAAACATATCCAGGGTTGTGTGAAACATTGAGAAGAAAATTTCCCAAAGGAAATTAGCATGAATGAAGCAGTTCTTCCTGGTGTTTGAAAGCACCCATATCTTCTTGGAAGTCTTGCATAGCTTCCTCAACAGCTGTCACCAAGTGTTCACATACAGACAATCCTGCCTTTGGGAACACTATGAAGACAAAACAATTGTGCATGTTCTTTGCCCTTAGACATTCAGGAACAGCTGCTGAAGTTTTCCCCAGCATGATTTGTGAATCAGTCCTTCAGGTACTTGTGCAACCTTAAACATTTCCTTGTAAATTAGGGATGGAAATAACCTGAAGTGCTTTAGTAGCCCAAAACAGAGTTGCTAAAATACCTGACCTTATTCTTTTCCATTCAAAAGTAGTCTAATCTAGTTTGATATCTGAACCTGGAAATTCGGATTTGGAAAAAAAATATCCCACAGAACAAGAAAAAAAAAATGCAACATTTTTGTTTTTTAGCATTATAAGATAAAATATGCAGAAAAGCTAAATTATCAGAGAATAGGCATGCCATATTTTAATTTTTAAAAAGTGTTTATATTTTGAGATAGAATAGACAGAAAAACATCTCTAGCATTAAATAGCCTATCTGATGGTGAAAATCCATTCAAAATGTCAGATAAATTAATTTGGGGGGAGGGCCATTTCACAGAATGAATATATGTGTTCCTCAAGTCAATAGAACTGGTTATCATTTGAGGGAACACTTTAAGTTAAGTGATTAACTTGTGTTTTCTATAAAATAAATCTGTCACTGGCAAGCTCATAAAGCATTGTCACATTGCTCATACAGGAGATGGGAACAATCAGATGGAATAAATTCTAAAAACAAAGATTATTTTTCAGATTGCAATAAGGGCAACTGCTAGTCATGATGATGATAAAAATCACTTATTTTAGCCACTAGATCCCTCTACCCACCACGATGCTTTATACAAAGGATAACATTTGAGGGAGATAATTACTGTAGTTTCTCTCCTTGCCAAAGCTGCACGAAAACATAAATTAAGGCATTGTGATTTAAATGGGTTTCTATTTTTAGTCTTTCAGGATTGTGACCAAATTTGATATTACTGTAACGGGTAGAACTGTTTGCCAACCATGCTTTTCTTTTCTTCATATCCAGATTTTTCTAGCCAGGGCTCAAAAATCAGGTGGTTTTGCCTTTGTTGTTTTGGCTACAGCAGTGATGGCAAGCCTTTTCAACACCGAGTGCCAAAAAGGGTGCATGTGTCTGCTCGTCAGGGCTGCAACCCGGACGAGGAGATGCCCAGGTGGCATGCATGTGCCAGAAAATTAACTTCCGGGTTTTGGCACACTCATACACACTGGCCAGCTAGTCTTCCGGATTTCTAGGGTGCATGCGCATGTGACGATCAGCTGGCCAGTGCACATGCTCACGCCGGAAAATGGAAGACCAGATCTTCCAGTTTGCGGCACTGCCACATGCACAAAGGCCAGCTGATCATTGCACAAGCATGTGTGCCAGAAACCAAGAAGAGAAATGGGCAACACCACGTGTGCCATAGGCCCACCATCACGGGGTTATAGGAAGGGCAAATTGATTCTTACATGAAAATATTCACATAATTATTCCCTTTTGAAATTGAAGAAAACTATCTGCAATTTCAATATGACATGAGTATGTAAGGCCAGTATGTAAGATACAGTATAAAAAGCGGCTCCTAGCTGAGGATTTTCTTATTCCCATCATCCACAATATTGTCACATAAAATGAACCAAAATTGTTCCCTCATTCCAACTGTCTTGCCTCTAGTATAATCAAACAGCTGTCCAAGGTTAATTCTGTAGCCATATTGTCACTTTTAGATAGTAGTACTTAATTTCAGTTGTGACTATTAAAATATATACATATTTCTTTTTATTATTTTTTTGGCAGAAAACATCCAACCCTGAGCAGGACGCTATTTCAGAATTCACACCTCTTGCCTCTTTGAAGAGACCAAAATATCGAAGTAATGAATGCAAGAAGTCCTCAGCAAAAAGGTCTTGTTCTAAAAAAATAATGTTCACACGCTGGCAAAACTATGATTATTCAATGCTCCCATCTATCTTTGGCTACTCTAACTATTCCAAGCGTTGCAATTCCAGCACACAGGACTACCACCAAAGTGCAGGTTTTGAAACATCTCTGTGACAGATCACCAACTCAAGCCTTTAAGAACCACAGCAACTCTTCCCACCCCTCCCCACCTGCAAAGGACCATTTAAGAACTCAACCAGAAAATCATGACTTTTGCTGCCACATGTAAGATCCTGACAAGCCTGCTACAAAACCAGGAGTATTGGTCTTTTTTTAAAATGTTTTTGAACTATTCAAACAATGAAGTTATGTACACAGTCTGGTACTGTGGAAATAGTTCTAATGCTATTTTCATTCTTCTCAGTCAAAAACTGTGTGTATTACCTCCATCATCCCTTTTCGTTTTGTTCGATGAGCCCTGCTTTGATTTGTGACTATATCTGGATCTGAATTTTGAAAAATGGTCAGTCATAAACAATGCTTTTGGATGTTCAGTCAGCAAGTATATTCACTAATGCTGCTTTTGACAGTCTTCGTCCTTTCTTTGCTTTTTCTCTGGGTGTTTCGGCTGTGCAAATCAGCACACGGGAAACAGATTCTAATGTCTTTGTATTGTCAGAACAGGACTATATGTGATCTCAAAATATTCTTTTTTTTTTTTGCTAAAGACCAATGCTTTTAAAGTATAGTTAATATAATACTTAAGAAGTCAGTCTGGCTATCAAATGTGTGATGTGACCACTACAGCAATTGGACTGAAAGTAATTATTGAACCTTCAGAATCAGCCATAGGAGTTTGTAGTAATAAACAAACCATAGTAGCTCTAAAATAGTATATTAAGAAGTGTTCTGCTAGTTTGTGGTCTTTCTTTAATTAAGAAAAAACAAATAATTGATTATTTAACAAATTATTATTAAAGTAAGTATTTTCTTGTTTTACTTTTAATTTGATATTAAAAATAGAAGGGAAATCAACACTAAAAATAAATTTTATGGTATTAACTGTGACTCTGTGTTAGGTAGCACCACCATGTGGTGTATTCCCATTATTTAAATAGGGAGTCATTTGTGACTTTCGTTTGCTGTCTATTGATTTTAATAGTAGAAAAACACATACCAGCTTGGTTTAATTTTTCCTCCAGTATTTTATTTAGAGTATATAAAAGGCTTAAAGTTTACTGAAAATTAACATTGCTGTTTGTGCAAATCCCCTATTAACTTCCTGAGCAGAGATAGGGACAACAAATGTTTTAAAAGGCAAATTGTGAAATATGCATTATACCAAAGACTATAAAGAAAAAAGAATTAGGAGTCCAAGTCTGGTGAAGCTGGTAATGATGGAGCAAGTGAGGAAACCATAATGCAAAGTTCACCCCTTATCTACTTGCACATGACATTCTGTGTTGTAATGAACGGATCTTGTGTTGTAATGTCACAACATAATATCTCATCATTTTTGCATCATCATGTGAGGAACAAGCACTAATGAATGTTATCATTTTTATGTTTTACCATTCCATACAGTTCCCCATATCATAGCATTTTGGTAATTTTAAGATGCAAGCAATTTCCATTTCTGGTGTTGCTAACACACTCACAACATATTTAATGTTATATATTTATTTGACACTGCATACTTGAAGGTTGGGTAGAAAAGTCCCCTACATAAAACACTGGTTGTAAAATGTAAATATATAAATATTTCTTATTTAAAAGAAAATCAACTTGATGTGGGTATTGATTTTATACCTGTACTAGTGATAAATCTCTCTCTGGGTATAATTAGCAAAATTATTTTTAATGTATTTTTTTAGAAATCTAAAAAATGCCTTTGCAATGAAATATTTTTCAATATTGAAGCTCTTTATATATCTGATTTATGCATACATTTGTTAATATATCAATTCTATTTTCAAGTATATGTTTTAGAAGAATTTTTTTATATATATGAGTTTTGGAGCTCTAGAATTTAGCTTATAATGGAATTGAGATTGTAGAAACTCTGATGAATGTTAATATTAGGCATAGGTTCGTTCTTTCAAATTCATCCAAAGCTGCTGATTTTTATTTTGTTTGCTTCGGCTTGTAAATATTGGCTTTCAATAGACAAGTCTTACAAGGAATTGCTGCCACCATTATTTTGTATTGTTCCATAAAATTTTGTATCACTTGCTCCTTTATGTTTTCATTTCCATCCATTAGCCTTAAATGGGAAGTTTCTTATGCGGTTATTGAAAATGCTGCATTCCTGCCCTGCATGCCCAAGAAAGATCTTATGGCAATGTTGTTGCATCTCAACCTTTCCTCCCCAAAAAATTACAGGCTGAAACATTGAATGGTAGTTGTGGAGGGGAAAAAATTAAAAACATCTTTTACCACTGAGTTCAAGGAGCATCTGCCAGTGTATATGTATGAGTGTTGCATGCACACGTGTCAAAAAAGGGCAAATAGTGCCTGAGACTGAACAATCAAAACCCTGCCCCCTTTTATCACCCACATAAAAAGAGGCCAGGCTTTAATCATGCAGAAAGCTGACACTTTCTTGATTTTGTGACTTTTTTGACCATCCCCTCTAGGAGCTGGTCCTAGACTTAATTACTTTTTAACATTAAATTCAATAAGTCTCCTGTAATGATGATTAAATCTGAGATCCCTCTCATTATAATAATAAGTTAGGAGACAGTTTTGAATTTAAAAGCTCCATTTTGTTCACAACAAGGTGGGTTCTAAAAAGATTTTAGGAAAATGACAAAAGGAAAAGATATCTCAGTATTAACCTCAATTTTCCTTCATTGCCTTTCTACAAACAGGCATGTGTGTAAAATTCTAGGTCAGAGACCTCTATGCACTAAATCTCCATATATGTACACTGGTGCTCCCAACATTGAATTCTACCAAATAAGTGAGATATGCAGTCATTATGTCTTACCTTGAAGATCTGAAAAACTAAACTGGTTATTAGCTCAATGCGATGCTTGCACCCCATTTGGTGATTGAAAACTTTTTTGATCTGCGTGGGAGCGAAGGATATTACAAAATTATTTTTATAGCTGTGGTTTATTTTTATGCACTGTGGATTATATCCCATAATTAGATGTTACAAATGAGCAGCAATAAACAATCTTGATAAAATTAATCAAAACTGATGGAAATCTAAGAAGAGGGAATACTTCATTTTGTTTATTTTCTCCCCAAGTCAGCGCTATCAATTTTTCTAGTTATTTATGGTCTATTATTTTGTCCAACTACCTGACATAAAAACAAAACCATTTAATCTCCTGCTTGTAACACCCTGTTTATTATACATATCATGCAAGTATCAGAGGAAATTACACATTGTGATATCCATAAGATCATGTCAGAAAGCTTTAACAGAATATTGTCAGAAGTATTATAAAAGAAATAATTATGTGTATGATTGTACATTGTATAATTGCACACATCAGTTTCTATAGCTTTATCTTTGTCAAAACTATACAGAATTTTAAGTATGTCTGAAATTCTGTGATGTGCTTACTGTTCTCAATAATCTTTCAATCTATATTGCAAAGTAGAATTGGCAGAAAATGCTCTTGGGAAAAATGGAACATAGTTACCAGAACATTAATCATTAAAATATCTATAGTCATCAGCACTAAATACTGACATGTATTTGTAAATGGTACAGTGATTAGTTCACTTGCCTGATAATTCAGCCTTTAAAATCTCTGTTAGATTAATCTATAATACTTCATTAAAAGGTTCAAAGCAGTCTCAATTATTATTAACATGATATATATATATATATATAAATATATATAAATACAATATATACATGTGCATTGATGTAAAGTTTATTTTCTGTGCTGTTTTTAAATTTTCATTTATGTAGATAACATGACTTCTTTATATCCATATTTTGGGACTTTCTGTAGATTCTCTATAAAGCAGTAGATGTTTAAATCTGCTTGCAATAAAATAAAATTTACATATTTGTTTTGGTGTATTGTGTACCAGTCTGCGGGCATGATGCTCTTAATTTAGATAGGAGTTTTAAAAATTGTAATTTCTAAATTACAATTTAATTATACTTTGCTGAATACATTTATACACAATCGGATTTTACTATTGTCTTTTTTACTGTCAGTGCAGAAAAAAATAGAGGTTGGTTTGGTTGGTTGGTTTATTAGATTTATATGCCGCCCTTCTCCCAAGGACTCAGGTCGGCGTACAACATTAAAAGAAACACATAATACAAAAGTTAAAAAAAATTAAATAGAATATCCCAAACGCAATTAAAATTGACAATGACATTTTTTTTAAAAATTCAAATTAAAATCAACAGTGATCAATAATTTATTTTGTTTTGTTCAGGCCAGGCTAGCTTGCTGGAAAAGCCAACTTGTTCAGGCCAGGCTAGCTTGCTGGAAAAGCCCGTCGGAAGGACCGGAGGTCGGGGATTATACAAAGCTCCGGGGGCAGCTCATTCCAGAGGAAAGGCGCTCCCACAGAGAAGGCTCTCCCCCTGGGGGTCACTAGCTGACATTGTATGGCCGACCGCACCCTGAGGAAGCCAACTCTATGGGATCGCACTGGGCGATGGGACGCTACCGGTGGCAGTAGGTGGTCTCGCAGGTACCTGGGCCTATGCCATGGAGTGCTTTAAAGGTTATAATTAGTA